CGTTAACTACTTTAAAAATGAACACCATAGTCAAAAACACAATTCTTTGCTTCACTGACAGCCATTGCAAAGCGTCCAGCATAAAAGTTGAGGAAGTGAATCTATTACATCTTAAAATCAAACGCATTACTTTATTCTGCAAACGCTGTAATCTCGATATTTGTGTTTCATTGGCCAAAAATAAAATGGAAGGGCAAAAGTCTAGATGAGGGGAGATGATTGATTTGTATAACTGTATTTTACTACCAATAGTTAAATCGTTTTTCAAGCGACATAGGATTCCATACTTCTTGGCAATTTTCTTGATGACATTGTCAATATGAGAATTGAACTTGAGTTTGTCATCAATAATCACGCCAAGATATTTAATTTCTTGAACGCGATCAAGTGTCTCATCATCAATAACAACAGAGACATCATCATCTACACGATTCCGCGAAATTACCATGAATTTAGTTTTACTTATATTCAATTTCAATTGTTTATACTTCAACCATCTACTTAGAGAACGCAAATCTTCATTCAAGCGTGAAACGGCTTCTTCTAAATCTTTAGCTGCAATGAATAACACAGTATCGTCAGCAAAAAGATTAATATCACAAAACCGTAAAACTCGTCGCATGTCATTAATATACATAATAAATAAAAGGGGCCCTAATACACTTCCCTGAGGCACTCCAAGGTCATTGTCAACGGGACAAGATACAAAATCATTAAAAACAGTCCTTTGTGTTCTGTCAGATAAATAGCTTTCAAACCATTTGTATGCAGAACCCGAAATTCCAAAGCGCTTGATTGTTCTCAACAATAAGGGCCTAGAAATTGTCTCAAAAGCGCGTTTTAGATCCAAAAACACAGCAACAATCGTATCTTTATGCTCCAAATTTTCTTTCCATTTAGCTAACACTAAGTTTAACGCGGTTTCACAAGAATGTCCTTCCCGGTATCCCGATTGTTCCGGTATCAACAAACAGTTACTATTTAAATATTCTAACAGCTGGCCTTTTACAACAAGTTCTAAAATTTTCTCTAATGTGTGCAACATGTTGATGGGACGAAACTCTTCGGCTTTAATCGTCCCAGCAACTTTTTGTATAGGAACAACTAAAGATTCTTTCCAAATATGCGGCACGTGCCCAGATTGCAATGATTGATTAATAAGGTCCCGCAGAGTGTGTCGAATGACATGAAAGCAATCTTGAATAACTCTAGCATTAACATTATCTACTCCAGCCGTTTTTCCTAATGAAAAGCAAATATTTTTTAGTTCATCTAATGTCTGGAGCTGACCTGCATCGCTACCGATAAGGCAATACAAATACTCGCACCAGTGTACAATAGCTACATGTGCATCATCTCCGGTCTCCTACCCTCGACGCCAGCCGATGCCAGCTGTGTCGAAGCCGGCACTCTCCCTTTCCGGTACCGCATCTACGCAGCCACTGTCAACAAAGCCACTGCATTTTCAGCAAATACCGCTGGAAATGACAGAATATGCCTCCTCAGCGAGGGGGCAGAGTTCTCCGTACAATCGTCAACACAGAGCTCCCCCCAGTGGCCAAAATTCACTGGTACGGAGATAAGAGTTGGCAATCTCCCGCACCAAACATCGACAGCCGGATAATGGAGAAGTTTAGAGCCGGGGACAATTCCGTAGCCCTTAGGAGATCGGTAGCAGAGCTGACCGGATTGTACCCAAACTACATGCATCGTTACACGGACGGGTCAAGATCGAGAGCTGGAATCGGAATGGGAATCGCTGGTGACATTTTCCCAACGAGCAGAAGTCTGCCAAAAAAAATGTTCGGTGTACTCGGCAGAAGCAGCGGCTTTTCTTTATGCCGTCACGGTTCCTGCGGATCGCCCAATCCTGATTCTGTCGGACTCCCACAGTGTTATTCAGGCCCTTTCGTCGGAAGTCCCGGTCCACCCCTGGATCCAGGGCATCTTGAAGGTTGCGCCACCAAACACTACATACGTATGGATTCCCGGACACTGCGGGATCCCAGGGAACATCGAGGTGGACAACCTAGCCGGTTCAGCCCCATGGGGTCCTCGGTACTCGCACAAGGTACCGTTGCAGGACGTGAAGAGATGGATCACTTGCACAGTGCGGACAGCGTGGGCAACGGAATGGTCCAGTGCCAGAATTCCGTTTATTACAAAAATTAAAGGCGACATCGGAAAGTGGACGGACCTTGCAAACCTGCGAGATCAGAGGATTTTTTTTCAGACTCCGGACAGGACACTCCCTAATCTCACGGGATTTCAGCGGAGGACCCTTCAGGAAGACCTGTGAATTCTGCCATGTTCCTTCGACGGTGGAGCACGTGTTATGCGTATGTCCACAATTCGAGCACCTTCGTTGCCTCCACGGTCTGCCTGCCAGCGTACGGGACACGCTAGCAGACGTGCCCTCAACTCAAGCAGCTGTACCATAGAGGTAACTCTAAGACTAGAAGGTCCCAAAATAACGTGCTCAACTTTTTGGCTCAGCTCTGGTACTATCTTCGGTCCCAAGCTAATCAATTCACCCCTCGAAACATAGTAAAAACCAATCACCCCTCATTTTATCTGTCAAACTTTCATAGCGAATCAAAACAAACATTGCGTAGTACTAGAAGTTCGACTAGAATGGGATACGTTAATCGTTTGCTTGGGACCAATAGGCTAGTCAAGTAGTGAGCCAATTTAAAATCGTTAGTTTCGTATTGATTGTTGGCTGTACTGCGCTTTTTGAAGGCGGCGAAGGTATACTGCAGGATTTAGCACCATAGATTCTTTCGGCCGTCCGGACATCCCCGCTGGACGGGGCTCTCAAGGACCTCCTACAGTGCACCTATGCTTTGTTATTGTTTTTTTTTTCCTCTTTCTAAGGCTTCCCACCCTTTACGGAGATGAACTAGCCTACGGCTAAAAATCTCCTAAATAAAGAAGAATTTTTTTTTCCCCTATCACATGTTCATTTTACTCCCAGTACATGTTCCTTATACCCGCATACATAAAATCCAGCCTTGTATTGCGCATAGAAACAGTAGGGTAGCGAGGTTTTCTGTCTTGGTGAAAGGTTTTGTAAAAAATATAATGGTTGTGTCCAAAGCACGACCACATTGTTGACGTAGGACTGCACGATTATTTTTGCTGCTTAATTCAATAATATATTAATAACAAAATAAATGGTTTATAATTTTAACTCTAAATGAACAATTAGGTATTAAATTATTTGAAATTGTTGTTTTTTTTTCCCTCTTTTTTTTTCCGTCGATCTTGTTTTCCGTGCTATCGAGGGAGGTAGCTCCCTCATCTGAACCCTACCTATCGACCGAAGGAGGAAGCTCCCTCATCTGAACCCTACCTATCGACCATCAACTCATGATTCGGGGACCAACGGCTTTACTTCTCTTCCGAAGGAAAGCGTGATCAGAGAGTTTTTTTTTTAAAACTTTATTAGAGAGATTTTCATCATCATCAGAGATGCTATGCCTCAGAACATCCCGGCGGCGCTGGCTGGGATTAAACCCAGGCCTGCTGTGGTGAAAGGTAATCACGCTTACCACTACACCACCGGTGCGCCGAACTTGTTGTTGAATAAATCCTAAAATTAACATTTAATTTTTGAAATTAGAAAATCAGAACTTTCGGAAACTTACTAATGTGAGTCATGGCAAAACAACTTTAAAAATCAAAGTGCGCCAGACATCACAAATCTTTATAATGCAGAACTATTACAGACACATGGCCAGTGATGGAAAAGTTCATCAAAGTTCCCTATGACTCGAACTTTTCCCTTGGTGAACTTCGTGAAATATCGCGAACTTTTCCAACACTGCACATGGCATTCAACTGAAACTTATTTAAGTTAACTTAAATTCATTTTATCTTTACCTGTGCTCAACAAGAAATCATTAAAATAGCAAACGTTGTAATTGAATAAATGGAATGTTAATTTGATTGTTTCATTGTTGCATATTACACATCCAATAGTTCTAGTTGTAGTTATAGTTTACATAACTTTCATTATTCTTTGTTTCCTTTTCTTTTAAGAAATATTACATATATCGTGAGATATTCACCCATATTCTTGTTTTCGTTCGAACCATTAAAAAATGCTTTTATAGGAGTCGAACAAACACAAGATTATGAATGATGAACAAAAAAATTTTGTGCTTTGTGTAGTCACCACTTTCCAACAACGGCAAATATTTTATTATAATTATTATTATTATTATTATTAGATAAAGACAAACGCTTAATTCTAGTTGGAAAGTAGCAAAAAAAAACGGAATTTGCTGTATTCATCTGAACAAAGACAGCAACCTTCTATGTAACAGAGCAGTCAAGTTAAAGCAAGCAATCAGAAGTCAAACGAACTAGATAGAATTAAAAATGTATTTCTGAATTGATACATGGGCTCAATATTAGAGAAACTTGGGCCAACATTTGAAGCATCAATTCTAATTCATAGGTACAATGTATATTTTCTGCCATGCACTCATTCGAAGACAATTAATTGGAGAAAAATAACTGTTCACATGTAGTATGGCCTTCGTGATAGCAACTTTCAACATTCATGAAAATAAATAATAATTTATCATTCAGACGCTCGCCATACATAAAAGATTTTTTTTACCGTGCCCTCTGTGTTTGTTTTCCTGACAACTGAATCAATTCTCACCTTGCCCTTCTCCATTCATTGATGATGCAGATTCATCACACTCCCATCGTGCATCTCGGCAGCTCAAAGAAACAACCGACCAAAAGAGAACCGCCAATAATCCCATCCATTATTGCGCTGCATGCCGCATTTTCTGGCACTCACTCTCTCCGACCGGGTCTTTGCTCATTCTCCCATTCTCTCTCTCCTTTTTTCTCACTGATCTGTTGCACGCGCAACTCATCGCTGCAGAGCGAGGAGGACCACGCCGGCATGGTACCTCAGCACCGAGGAGGGTTCCGAAGAAGTGTCCATCCGGTGATCCAGTTAGTCAGTGCTCGTGCGTAGTTGAGAGAATACGTGAGTGAATTTCGTGCGCGCGCGCTCGGTTTTGTGCTACAAAGCAAGGACCACGTTCCGATTCGATTCGTTTGATGCTTTTTGTTTACACCGGAGTTTCCCGATTATCCCCGGAACCGCCGCCTTCGTCGCCACTGCCGGCGGTTGATGGAGTGATCGTTTTCCTGCCGTGTTCGCGTTTCTTTCGTCGCTTCGTCTTCGTCGGCGTCGGTAAAGCAGATAGTGATTAAGGTGAAGCAGTGTGAATAAAGGGGAGCTGCAGCAGTGCCGAGAATTTTCCCGTTGAGGATTACGACGACCCAGCGGGCTGAAAAAGGGGAGCCATGAAGCGGCGCTGGTGGTGGCGTATACTTTTGGGTAAATATTTTGGTTCCACTCGCGCTGTGCCATTTTCATCAATTATGGTTCACCGTCGGAATAATTACGTGGTATGAAGATGTAATGACGGGGGACCAGGCAGAGAGGGAAAGTTTTCGGTTGATGATGGGCCGCGTGATGGTGCTGATGCGGTGCGCGGTGCATTAAGAAGATGGAATGGATGGAACGGTGAACCGTGGAAAGGGCATTCGGCGTCTTTGGCTCATCAACTGGATGAGAGGAGGGGGTGGAAGAGCCCATTGTTTTGATGTTGTGCTACATTGGTTCTGTGAGAGGTTTTGTGAATAATTATATCATTCTGTTTTTCTCGTGTTGGGTGGGACGGCGGCAAAGCCGATTGTCGGGACATTTTCAGTGAGTGCGGCCCTGGCATTACTGATCTAATGATGCGGGTGTACAGACAGCATGAAAGGAGCACGGGAAAAAGGTTGCCGATGATGCTTGAAATCTGAACCATGCATGGCATCGGAATAATGGAATCGTTAAGCAGCACATGGTGAACATGAGGATTTTCACTTGTGTGACCCATCTGCGTTGAGCAGTAATGGCAATTAACGCTGCAAGAAGGATCAGAAGGATGAATGAAACACGAAGAAGGACTAGCTCGTTTGACAACGAGGAATGAAGATCATTTACATATTTTTTTTTTTTTTTGTTATTGGTACACAGCTCGGCGGCTCCGAAAAAAAAATCATCTGGAGTAATTTAATCTTCATCCTTCGAAGCTGCTGAAGCTCATGAGCATTTCGGTTTAGTGCAACTTGGTATTTCAAGCACTTGCTTGCAGCCTCAAATGTGTGCTATATTATGTCAGGATGACTCAACGATGAATTAAAGGAGTTTCTTTCCGAGTTGAAAATTCGGAATGCTCTTGCATAAACAGTTTATGGAATGAAGTGTCCCAAATTGATGGTTCGAAGCTAGTGCTCTATACGCAGGTTCATGAAGTTCTTATAATCATCGGTAAGAGTGATCACACAGTGGAAGATGTTTGTGCAGAAGGTCTGTTGATTTAATAATGATTTATTGAGAAGTGTTTCAGAACGGGGCAACTTCAAGGTCTTAAAGTTCGTCAAGAAAACGAAAGGAAAAATGGTTCAATGAAAACAAGAAGCAGAAGTTACAGATCGTTTTATGAAGCAAACGAATAATCTTTGAGAAAAGATGTGTGATTTGTGTGTGAGCCAGACAGAATGATTCTGTTAGTACTACCTTTACCATTCCCACGCTGATTTTGAAAAAAAAGTGAACGGATGAAGTTTCCATGGAAAATACTAATGCGAAAAAGCACAATTTTGCGAAGAAGCTGAAGAAAAATTGTTGTTTTTAAATTAAAAAAAGTGACAACGAAAGCAGCAAATGACAAATGTTTGTAATCATGATTTGAGTGCTCCGTAAACGAAGTTAGTTGCAATCATCATTACTCTGATCGGAAGTTAGTTGCAGTCGCAAAATTGTTTGCTACGTGCAAGTGAATGTGGAAATATGGTGTTAAGAATGAAAAAAAATCAATCCTGCATTAATTTGGAATCGCAGGATATTGAAGAATGAAGCAACCTTGTGAAAGAACATGCGGATTAGTTTTTGTTTCGAGATGTAGAAGCAATTATAGTACTGCAGAGGAACCCCGCTCATACTTCAATACATAAGAAATTCATGAAATCGGTGAGATCTTTCCATATTGATTGAATCTAGTTCATCATCCAGGACATCCGAAATAAGAAACATTCAGTGAATCTAGCTCATGATCCACGACATTCCGTGCTTCACTGGCAATTTGCTTCCGTAGATCGTCCATGGTTGGTTCCGTTCCTGGTTCGATGTTGACTCCTTCCTCGCTGGTTGGTGTGGTCGGTTTCATGTCCACCATCTGCCACTGAATTGCCATGGTTATTTGAGACGAGGCTCACGGCCAAAGTCGCTTGTCCACCGAGCGCTCCGTGTGCGAAAAGAGAATGAAAGAAATACGTAAGGGATCAGTTTCAAGAAGTGACAGTTTCATCATTCACCCCAACTAACCATACTCAAGCAAAGTAATATACAAGCTATATTGCGACTATATGGTTACTTGGGCACTCATATGGCCGTCAGAATGGTTCATCGGTTGCGAAGTGAAGTATTTCTCAAAGTGATGCGTAATATTGCTTAATGTTTTGATTTTGTCCTAACGATACCCCCATGTTATACCACAGACAAACAGACACAACACATTGAACATTTCTCATTGTAAATCATACCGCCATCTGTCGTATACACTATGATGGGCAATACACTCAACAGATGGCTGTAGTGTGTAAACGTCAAACGCTAGGGAATTGATTATGTGCACCACAAATGGCGGTACTACCATAGAGGTAACTCTAAGACTAGAAGGTCCCGAAGAAACGAGCTCAACTTTTTGGCTCAGCTCTGGTAATATCTTCGGTCCCAAGCTGATCGGTGAACCCCTCGAATCATAGGAAAATCCACGAACCCCTCATTTTATCTGTCAAACTTTCATAGCGAATCAAAACAAACATAGTGTAGTACTAGAATTTCGACTAAAATGGGGTAAGTTAATCGATTTGCTAGGGACCAACAGGCTATTCAAGTAGTGAGCCAATTTAAAATCGTTAGTTCCGTATTGATTGTTGGAACTACCAACTAAGAAACATTTAAATTGACCATTAAAAGCGATTTCGATGAACGTTTTAAGAGTGTTATGTCTGCTTGTCTGTGATCATACCTTCATTATCGCAACTTCGGGTAATCTGCGAAAGCACTTGCCTTTTTTCTCAGGCAATTTCCATCTAACTGAAATTACTCTCTCATACTCGAAATGTGCCACAACTAAATTGGCCCAACGACGCCCTATACGCTCTCTGACCGAAGCACAGGGATCTAGTCGCATAGAAATATTGAGTGAAAACTAGATGCAACTAGATTATTTAAAAAAAATACTCAAGAACACGTCGCTGATTTTTTAAATTTTGTGTTAAAGAGCCTAAATGTTCAAGGAAAAATATTAAAACATATTGCGCCCTCTGTCTACATACGATGAAACCCTATAAGAAACAAACAAAAAATGTGTCTCAATACAAAATAACATTTTTATTATTATTATTATATTTTTTTAAAATGTTATGAATTTTTGAAAACAGTAACTTAAAATAAATGATTTTTTGGACCATTCTAACATGGAAATGGTCACCCGTATGACAAAATAAATAAAAATACGGGTCTTATATTTTGCAATAATGAACATTTTCTAAATATTCCTCGAAAAATGTATCAATTTTTACGAAATTCTGAGAACCACTATATCATTTGGCTATGGAAAGTCTGTATATGTAGCTGCGTTTTCTTAGCCTCAATCTACCTGTGCACCAACTCTCAAAACATTAACAATTATCAAAATATTGCTTGCAATGGATAGATATCGAGTAAACTAGAAGAATAAGTTTATTTTTCAACCGATTCGAGTATAAATATGGCATTAAATCTGGTTTTGAAATTAATAACTGTGCATCTACAACACTAAGGTGAGAGCACCAAGGAATCAAAAAATCTCAAAATGACAAAATGACAAGCGATCAACGAACCGAATGATAATGCTATGTCAGAAGTGGAAAGTAATAATGATATAATCTTCTTCCTTCTTTTTCATGACAAGCAGCCCGTGCGACACAGCTCACTCGCCCCGGTAGAAGGAAATGAGCAAAGCTGTTGGCAAGCTGCTTCACGAAGTAAAACCGAAGATGATACACGTGTGTTAATGGGAATTTTTTTGTTATGTCTTTTCTCGATTCAGATCAAGCTATGTCCTCGTCCAAGTAGGGGAAATGAATGTAATGTCAGCCCAAATGTCCCTAATTTAGGTCCATACATAAATTCAGCAATCGACTAAATTTTCAATGGCGACCAAAAATATCCATTAGTACCGTCCCAATGACGCGTTCATCTAGATAAAATTGATAAATAGCAGATTTTTAGCGATGGGCCCAATCTTAGATCCATAGGTCAACATTAGGGCCATTTCCCCTATATTGCAGCAAAACAGGCAAGCTATCTATCATCAACCTTCTACCACTCCGATCGAGTTATGTTACATAGCGAGTTTGTCATGGTTGTCGTAGCAACCGTTTTGTTTGTATCGTTGGTTGCTTTATGTGTTTGGATTCGCTAGTGATAAGCATGGAATGCAAAGAAGAAGAAGGAGGAGGATGAGAAGAAGAATAATAATAAGAAAAAGGGCACCTACAGCAATAACTTATAATTATTGAAAGGTTTATTGGAGTTATACTAATAAGTTGATTCTCCTGGGACTATAATCGGTAGTCTCTTGAAGCTCTTCTCAGAATTACCTTAGATTGATTTATTGAATAGAATGTAGCATACACTACACTACGCAGACAGTTTAGATTTCCGTTTTTCTGTATATAAAAAAGTGCTGCAATCTGTTTATACTAGTGACATTTATTTTTAAAATCAATAATGTTGGTATTCCATTTAATCATTAAACCAGAAAAAGTACGTTGGGCAACCTGGAAAATAAGGAAAATCGGGAATTCAACTCTCCCCAACTCCCAGTATCCCAGAAGCACGACTTTGGAACACCCCTGCTTGTTTCAGATGACGTTTAAGCAGCTGATTATCATGCTGAATCATTGTTTACATTTCGACCAACAGTTCCGTGTATCGCAAATGTTGGTTCATTACATTTCCGTGACAATGCGAAACATTTATCTGGAAAAGCGCAAACAGATCGTGCACAAATGGTGTTTCTCTGAGTTAATTAGCGAAGTAGGAAGGTGTAAGCAACGAAGCCGTTCGAAACGCGATTCGGAAGTATGGTGATGAAGAAACTTTCCAGGACAAGCAAAAATTTGGACGTTAACCGAATACTGTTGACCGAAATCTGGACTGGAAAATCGGGCAAGCTTTCACTCGCAAGAAAAGTGCATCGGTTCGAGACGTGGCTAAAAAAGTGGGATCCTCGA